TTATGCTTTTAGCGACTGTGTAACTTTATAAATAATTTCTGGTGCAACAGTTTAAACGGCTTATTGGAAAGGGCTAGACAAAGCCACGAGGCAGAGTTGAAATATATAGGTACCTTGACTATCTTGAAACAACTGAGTACGCTGATCCATTTTCTGATTCCAGTATTGGGGAAGACCTCTCCAGTCTAGTTGTTCCATAACCTCAGCACCTATAGGAGGTAGCAATGGTACAGGCCAGTATTTTATTTAAAGACTCCGATGAAGAATGGGAAGCTGAAGTCCGGCGGGTCTGTCTAGCAGCCATAGTGCGCGATGGAAATGAAAATGTTTGTCAAGATTGTAAATGATATTTGTTTAAGTCACAAAGGTTAGTTATTTTACAAAAAAAAATGTATGATGACCACAATGCGATAGTACCGGATGTCGGCAGCTCACACTGTCTGAGCCATTACTTTTTGATTGTATTCATGACTAAATAAAAAAAAATAATATAATCTTATATTAAAGATAACTAGTCCAGCTTCAAGGACTCTGAGCTTTTTATACTGACGCAGATAGCAAGTACATTAAACCTATGGTGAATCGTGGTGATCTGACTTTCCAATATCCCACTTGGCGAATAAGTGTTATAACTTCAAAAATGTAATACCATGCATTTTGAGCATAACATGAAACAATCAAGAAACAACAAAAGTAAGCTTAGATAAAATTGATCAAACATGTTCCTAGTTTTAGACTTCTGTTATTGGAATATAATACAAAAGTGTCTAGACATGCGTCTCACTAAATAAAAAAACAGCGTCGAGATGTATTTGCTGTCTTATTTAGAACTACATTTTTATTACTTTTGATGCTAAGTGCCTCGAGACATTGTAGCGGCACATGCCCATGGAGAATACTGATTTCGTTTTCCTTTTGCGATTTTGTCACCAATCACTTCCAGCAAGTGACTAGATGTTTGGATACTGATTCTACGGTAGTTATAAGGTTTGATAGGATAACTTCTAATAGTAAATTTATGAGCTCCCCTCTCCTCTACAACAGCTCTACAACACTCCGACAGCAGAATGATGGTCTATGCTTCCTATTCCTCAACGAGTCACAAACATACTCAGTAGGTCGTCCCCCTTCACTTATGAGGGATACCAGGAAAGAATTCTACCTAGTCATGAAACAAACAATTGAAACGAACAAGAATAATGAGTCAAATAATGGCACACCTTATTTGCAAAATTTGAGTTAATTTTGATAATTAGTTTCCACTTCGAATTGTCAGGACAGATAAGTAACTCAAAGTTACAGTATTCCAGGGTCATAAAATTTCTGATAAAATAGGGACATCTTCAATGTGTGATAAAAGACGATCCCAGAAGTGAAAGACCCATATATAACAACAAATGATGAAATGGCTCAAACCATCATGCCTGTCGAACATCATCGCATGAAGGTCTATATTATTAGCTTCGCATTGAATATAACAAAAGGTAGCGTAACAACCAGCTTGAGCATAAATAAGGTGTCAGACCTCAACAAAAATTGCGCAACCTGGAAAAACCAGAAAGTCATTTGGAAACCTTGACCAACGATCTTGATTTTTGTCACAAATTGTTTTGGGCGACGGGACTTGGGTGCATCAGTCGGATTCTGATACTAAAACAGAATTCAAGCAGCGGGTCTATAAAGTGCCTCTACAACCCAACAAGGGACAGACGCAACCCTCTGCTGGAAAATCGGCGGCAATAGCCTTTTGGGTCAACATGGGCATCTTTCCCATTAAAAGTATGCCAAAAACATACACCAGTTAACGCGGACGTTCATGCCACATACTGAAAAATTTCCGTGATCAGTCAGGAAAGACCCAATTTTCCAATAGAGAAGTATTTCTGCTGCAAGATATTGCGACCTTGCATAAGGCTGCCAAAATTATATGGTCCGAACTTGGCTGTGTTACTAAAGAAAAATCAACCCGGACGCCGCTTTGACTCAGACGATAGACTAAACGCAGCCGTCGGCAAACGTTTTAAAATTACCGAAAACATTTTTTATAGTAGTAGTAAAGTAAAAGAAATATACTGTGACATACAGAAAAGATGTTTCTGGCTAAAAGCACCCTTGCTGATTATTTCATACCTACAGTGGCATCCAGTTCATAGACTCGTTAATGTTAATTTGGTGATCGCCATTTCTAAAGAAGGTATGAAATGGCGAGGACTAATTCCGTACAGATTAGGCTGCCTACCTGCACTAGAAGATAATCCGACAAAAACCGTACTGCCGATACCAATATTCTTAGAAAAATAGGGATAAATTGTTGCACACCTGAGGGGTGAATATTATTTTATTATCATGAAGATTTTACATAAACTTATACCCAAAAATTAACAGAAATACCTATTTGCACAGAATACTGACACACAGTGATAACAATGATAGCCTAATACACAGCAGATACCTGCAGAAGGCTTGCACCAGTGGCATTAACGGATATACAGAGTGCCCTAGGAGTTGGGAAACACTGCGTGTGTAACGCTAAAGCTAATGTGCGCTAAAAAATAACAAAAGAGTGGAAAAGGAATTGAAGAAAAGTGCTCACTGCAGAAATTTAAAGTTCGTCAACTTCTTCTTAAATTTTCGACATTTGGGGCTATGAAAGAAGGCCTTTTACTGAGTCTACGATCTAAATAGTCCACTCACCGTAAGGCGTCATCAAATCAATCACTCCGTTATTTCAAAGGGGATGTGACAATTCCAATTTTTTCCCAGATCAATTTGTAAAAAAAAGTAGCCTGACGAGCAGCAGCTGATGTAGATCGTACAGCCCCAATATTATATTTTGTTTCGAAACTTAGGAGCTGGCATCTTGAAGTTTTAGTACATGTGTTTCTAAGCAAATATGCTTACTATTACATGAACTACGAGTATATTCATTTAGGTATGGACGGCCTGTATGTCTTTGATTAGGTAATGCGTCAGAGATAACACTTTGTTGCATGAATTCGTTCATTTCAGTAATCCTAACAGTTGAAAGATCGATCATAAGATCGCTTTAAGCTCTTTGCTACCCCTCCATTTAAGGTTCCCACTTGGCGACAGCTTCACTTTAGAAAGAAGGTATAGTCGACACCAAAGCTGTTGTTTTCTCAGGCAATAACCTACCTAGCTACAATATTGAATTCATCTTATTGTGTAGGTTTTGATGAAATGAACCACATCTATGTACGAGAGACCATTCATTATTGACAGACACTTCATACTGCTTGGTTCCAGTTCTTTCCCAAAATTTGTATTTGTCGGTATTTCTGGACGTTGGTCAAGCAAGATGGAAGGGATTTAGAACCTCTAACTACTCTCCTGAAGTGTGTACAGTTACCATCGAAAAATGTTGAGCATCAGTAATGGAAACTTGACTATTAACTCTCAGGTAGCCGTTTGATAGATCCACTCGTTAATACAGTTTATCTAGTAGTACGAACAATTAAAATGTCTTTTGATGTCGAATATTTTGAAAAAGATGTATTTTTCTAGGCAGTCAGCATGCCTTTAATTCAAGTAACGACGATATGCGGAGGTAAAACATCAGCACCGGACATTAAAAGTAACACTTTGATAGATTGCTCCGTTGTGGATCACTTCACATCAAATTCCTCTAAAATCTCTACTGAATTCTGAAAAGTAAAAGGTAGTTTTGGAGAACGGATGCCGTTATACGTATGTTTTACAGACCTTAATTTCACCTAACCTGTTTGTTCGTATACTAGTATGTATGGGACAAACCTCGAAACTGAATTTTGACCTCAACCAACTAAGCTGAAATTTCACTTACATCTACGACAAGAAATGCCTCATAATCAAACCGAGACCAAGTTTCCTCAGGCGCAAGTAAGATCCAACCTGAAATAAGCGGAATATCAGGAATGTCCAGACTGATATAATCGACGCAAATTCACAACCCCATGGTAAGACCAGCGTCTCGATATAAGTGGTAAAATGTAATATTTATTTATATTTATTATAATCGAAAACACATATGTCCAAAAACCAGTTTTTATTATTTGTTAACCCGAAATAAAAATTCAGCAAAAAATTTTTTCCAATCGGAAGAATGACGTTTTATACTTCTTAACGTTTAAACCATAGTTAAGTTTCAAGTTTTCAAATAAAACCGTATCAATCACATTCTTTTCTCCTCTTAATATTAAAAGGTAATACGCTTTTTTTGGAAACTTGAGACAAAGAGGCGTTTTAACGTTAAGAAGAATAAAACGTCATATTTCCAATCGAAAAAAGATTGTCAATTTTCAGTTCGTTTTAACAGTTAAATAAAAGCATGTTTTGAAAAATATATTTTCTTATTTTATTTATTAAGACACAGCGTTTATATTGTGCCACCCGGTACTGTATGCCCTTTCAATTTTGTGGCGACCTGTGTACACAATCAAGTACTAAAGGTACTCCAACAAAACATGAATTTACCTTGAAAACAACAAAGAACTGTTTTGACAGCAGCTAAAAAATTTTTGTTACCAATTTTGTCATCCATTACACCATTACGAATCCAGTACCTCCATGGTGACCTAGCCTGTCGAGATCAAATCAGTCGCCGTCACCGTATAATGCTGTTGTGCCTGTTGCTGACTACGGGGATGAAAACTACTGTTTTCTAGCTGGTGGAGACGCTTGCCCGAAGAACTATTATGTGGAAAACAACTTTCTGGAAAGTAGATGGCAAATTTATTTGTTGTATTTGGTCTTAGGGGGCACAACGAAATAAGGCTGTTCAAAGTGCCATCTATTACCGGTATCGACCACTTTGTGCAGTCTTATTTCGATAGCGGTATTTTACTTCAAATAGTATAACTAATAGTATTTTTTTCTTCAATCAGAATCTACAAGCCAACCAGCAACAAACGAAATAGGCACACGACCAGCAACAAAGTTATTCAATTTCATCATAAGAGGTCCAAGTTGCGTTCCAGGGGAAACGGCTCCTCAGCTTTGACATGCCCTATAAATCAACAGGTGAGTCATCATTATAACGCTAAGCAATACCAACTTAAACACTATTTAACCCACTATACCTATATACAAATTCAAGATCCACAAACATGGACATGAGCTTGACAACTTCATGCGCAACTTGATAGTTAATGAAAATACGCAGTGCTATCCAGTAGGTTAACTCAACCATAATATAGATGTATTTTCTAAATCATCTTCCATAAAATAATCATTTTTTTGGGATTGCTTCTAAGAACATTACTGTGCGACCGATTTTCCAAAATATAGCAACCCAAACAGTAGAGCTTGCTTGCTTCACAAAAATTTACTAAAATCGGCGCACCGGTTGCTGAGATTACGCGAGCAGACTGACTGTAAGTGGCTAGAATTTTTATGGTACAGTCATCTCAAAGCGCTAATCAGCCTATTGTTCTAAACAAATAAAATGAGAATTTTTCGGATATCACAATGTATTTTAAACAAACTAAAAGTAATTTTGGTTTCTTCCAGATGCTTCCAAGTCTAAGCGAGTCAGGAGAGCCTACACTCCATACCAACTTCTAGAGGTGGAGAAGCAATTCGACACTAATACGTACCTGAGCCGACCAAGGCGCATCCAAGTCGCAGAGGAGTTGGACCTGGTGGAACGTCAAATAAAGGCCTTGTTCCAAAATAGAAGGATGAAGTACAAGAAAACATAATTAATGGCTTTGTTACACAGTATTTCATTTCTCGAAGTTTGCCGAACTATTGGATAATATGTCAATTTGAACCACATACTTTGTATTACAGCTGTCCAAACCAGGTAAGCGTTTTGTCAAAGGGATGCACAATTTTACTGGAGATGTTGATGCTTTATACAATTTCAAGAAAGATGTGTATATCTGGTAGAATTTTTAACTATCGAAGACCCTTTAGTATAGCAAACATTAATTTGAAGTTGTCGATAAACTTAATAATTCAAGAAATCAAAATCAACCTGAGCGTTAGATAGGCAATGGCAGATCAATTATATTGAGCGCAGAAGTGTATTTGCTTCCTGAATTGACTTAGTGTGTTTGTGAGCATTTTTTAGTGTGTTTATATATTTACGTGTTTTCTTGTTTGTGTATTTATGCAAGTTTCGTTCAATAAATTGTCTTTTTTTGTAAGCTATGCTCATCTTCAAGTATACCTTTACACACCTAAGCAAATCAAGATTCGGAACCAAAATGCAATTAAGTATCTGGGTGTATGGCTTGACCAAGATCTGAAAATGATTGAACATATAAGGCGCTACATTGATAAGGTGAATAAGACCGTTGTATTTCTGAAATGGCTAATGACATCTGACGCAGGGTCCAGTGGTGAGAGGCGCAGGATTTTGGCAGGGGAGTCAATTCCGATTATGCTGTATGGAGCCCTCATATATATAACAAGGCCTTGAGCAAAAACAAATATAGGCATCAAATATTGAGAAGTCGGCAAAAAGTAGCGATGCACGTGGCATGCGCTTACAGAACGGTGTCAATCGGTACACTGCTGGTGGTGGCTGGTACCCCGCCAAGCTACAAGAGTTGAAAGAGAGGTGCTCCTTGTCAGACGGCATGGGATACAACTGGCCATGGTGCATGCACCAGAAGGCTGATTCTAGATATTAAAACCTGGATTGACAAAGGAGCAGTGCGGATAGATTACTGTACCGAACAGTTCCTCGCAGGACATAGTTGTTTTGACAGTTACCTGAAGAGAATAGGAAAGAGAGAGTACGCGAACTGCGTTCATTGCACTGGAGATTAGAATACTCCTAATTACCTAATCCAGGTGGGTTGACTACCAGACACAGCTCGGACTGACGCTCGGCGAGAGGCTCACTGCTGAGAATTTTGCCCCGCATATACGCAAAGGAAAATGAGTTGATATTCAACCAATAGTGAGCCGAATGATGCTGAGTAAGGTACGGGAGAACAAAAATAGACTAGGGATCCAATAGTAGGTGTCTCTATATTACTTACATATGTATGAAAGCATGTATGTGTATGATAGATAATAGATGACTAATACCTTCGATATGAGAACCTGGCGTAACGCTACCCACTATGAAGAAATGCTGCAAGCATCACCGTGGTGGGATGTGTGGTCAAAGACTGCGGGGTTTTAGGCCCGTATCGTCAGTCGTCCCTACAATTGTAGGGCGAGTTTATGGCCTCCTTGATTGTCATCCTCCTTTCTCTCCTTCAAAAATTTCTAGATTACACTTCTCCCGTGTCAGCGTCAGCGCTCTCCTATTGTGAAGATATGTTTTCTTTATAAAGTGTAGGAAATTTCAGGCTGATAAAACATGATATAACTTAAAAGCAAGCACAATTTGATGCAAATAGATGTTTGTGACATAACCTCAAAATAGAGTTCTGACACGGAGAAGCAGAAAACTATGACAATCAAGAAAGCCATAAAGGCGCCCTACAATTGTAGGGACGACTGACAATACGGGCCTTAGTGAATATGCCATTCCTGGAGAATCTCACACTTCGGGCAGGAAGGACCGGTAAGGCAATACTGTCGAACGTTTCTGCCTGAGAGTAGGTATAAAAGCGTTCCCCTGTAAAAAAAACTCCTAAGCAAATAAACGAGTCAATCATGCTGACTCAATGCTCACTTCGCATGAATACCTATATATCAGCTTTTAAATTGACAACAACATACAAATTCAAAAATTTATAAGTACCTTTCCTAGCTCCAGGTACAGAAATTCTTAGTGTAGTCTATAAAATAATCGTTTGCGTCACTTTCCTATAATATTTTCCCGCGCCATTCCTTCTTTCCTTACACTTGCTAGTTAGAAAAGAAGAGAGGGTTACGTGGTAACACCGCATGCTGGGTTAATTCCCCATGGTAGGTCGCATTATTTGTTCTTTTTCCGCATTTTCTTCACCGCATCAACAACCGCAAGACATCCCTGGGAGGTCTTCCCCAGCTGCAGTAGATCAGCTGCATGAAAACCCAACTATTTTATAGCAATAGTCTTTTCCGCACCCGCCATCCTGCAGGTCCTTCGAACATATCATTTATATTTCTCATCCATATCCTATCGTCCCCATCAATCGTTAATATCTTGGTCTGACAAACCAGGCGTTAACATCATGCGAGTCGGATTATTGAACCGACGCATATTTATTTATTCATTCGCAGAATTTACGAGCCAGCCGTATTCCTTCGCTTTCGCCATTATAGATTCTGCCATTTCACTTTGTGATACTCGTTATATTCTTTTAACGCACCATATCTCAGAATACGGAACAGGAAACTCAAATATTAGAATCGTACACAGTTATTTTGAGCGTGTTCAGAGCTATTGTAAGTAGCTCTAGGTCTATAAGCAAGTAGGCCTGTAAAGAAAATTTCCTCGCTGATATTGCATCTCTAGACATTATCAGAGAAAGTTTTCTTCAAACCGTAGACGGGATCAGTGGCTTATAGACATGTCTTATAACATTATGGTATTGGGGAATCTTCCGAAAGTACTAGTTGCTCAAGAAATAATCGTCAGATTAATATTCATTTAGAGTTATTATTCAAAAACTGGAAAGCAAGACTAAAAATTTTCTCGTTAATAGGCATGACTGTCCGCAGCCCAATCAGATGCAACGTGTATATGGATTATGATCCCAAGTTTTTCTATTGTGTTTCAAGGCAATTAGAATGGGTGAAATGTACTGATTTAGAGCTCGCATTGGACATTCTGGATTTGTATCTTTATAGGGTGCTCCAAATTCGAGGCGCCAACATCCGAAGTTGTAGCTTAAAGGCAGTCATGCTTGCTAACTATACAATTTAGACTACGGAGTGAAACCTAGAATTTATTATTGTGGCATTATTGGGCGTCGCCTACAATTCTACTAAACGCGGTTCACTAATATAACCTTTAGAAGACAAAATATAGCACCTGGCAGACCTCAACATTGTTGTTCATACCAACTGTCTGCACTTCTCTTGGAAGATATATCGGTAGACGCTATGAATACGAAAGTTAAGCAGGCGGGAGCAAAATTGATTATTTAGTCAGATATTTACTTTTCTAATAATGTATACATATATTAAGTTATTTAGTAACATCCAACAGCTAAAGCCAATTACAGGGTGGATACACATGAGGATAAAAAACAAATCAGGATACGAAATGAGGAAAATATTGGTGGAGTTGAGATTAGAGCCCCAGCCAAATATCTACACTTTGCCCTGCTAGTTTTCTTTTTTGCATACCCAAAGTCGCCAAAATGAAGGTCCTCCTTCGGAAGTCTAGCTTCGATTTTAGTGACTCTTTTTTATAATTATCGTTTTTTCATATTATTTTGAATCAAAGCTTTTTGGAGGGGAAAAATAACTGTTTATATTATAAAAGCAATAGATATATATCCAGACTCCGAAGGGACGGTACTACAAATCGGTTTTACTCAACTTTTGAACAATACTTTTTTACTGTGTATGCTAGTTTATCCTATATTGTCTATTCCATCAATTCATATATAGGTCAAACTTCTAGATCGTTAAAAGGTAGGATAAGCTCACATAAAAGTGATGCCAGACTGCATCCAGAAAGATGTGCTTTGGCCTCACATGTTAACACTACAGGGCATTCAATGGTATATAATGACATTAAGGCTCTTGACAGAGAAAACCACATATCAAAACGTTTGTTCCTAGAAATGTCTCACATTCTTATGACAGACAATTGCATGCAAAATAGCAGATGTCAAGCAGCTTAGCGTCATTCATTCATATTTGTTGAAATGCGAAAAGTTGGAATGATATCATATTGCTGCCATCATTGGTCTTTCTCAAAAATTATATTAATTGTATAATTTGTTCTCCAGAAAAAATTTCATCCTATCATTGGAAACACGTTTCTTTCAGAATACCATTTATTAGTTCAAAAACATCTTGCACCATAACGTACGTACCTTCCTCTTAATACCTCGCGTAATCTCCATAAGGTAGGCAACACATGTAGCAAGAAGATTTTCAATCAATCATAGGTCAATAATGTCAAGCTCACACGTCACTGCCGGCCTGCTTAGCGCATGGTGAAGATGTAGAGGTTTTAGAAAAGATGAAATTTCGGAATGTCCTTCAATAATTATTAAATCTTCAATTTTTCTAAACCCGTTAGTGGTTTTTTGCAAAACATAGCCACGGTTTTCCAAAAATTAATAATAGTTTCTCTTAATTGAACCTCATAAATCCAGCTTTTTTGTTCGTTTACCATGTAGGCTCATCCATTTTCGTCTAAGAACAATTTAAGTAACATACTCCGTATAGTCAGAATTTGGCTCCGTCTTACCTCTATCTGTTTAGATTACTAAAGAAATATCTTCGAGAGTCAAGAGGAAACATTCTTTTATAAGGCACTGGAGACATTACAACGTAAGTTCATTGATGTAAGGGGGATAACATTGTCGGAAAATATTTTTTTCTAGTACCTCTCGTATAAGTGAAAGAGAGGTGACATACAGAAAACTTGTTTCTGACCAAATATGTTTGCATTATGTTTTATAGATACCTACTTTCCATCCTCTAGGATTATTTGATACCTACTGTGGTATGCAGGTCAGTTACTTGTTATTGTGTATTCGTTGATCGCTATTTATAAAGAAGGTAAGGTATGGCGAGGTGCAATTCCCTTCAGATTAGGCTACGCTGAATATCTGTCCACGGAGATAATCCAACAAAAACCGTACTACCGTTACCAATGTTCTTAGAAAAATAGGGCTAAATTGTTTCATACTTGACCTGAGGGTAAAGGTAAATATTATTTTATTATCATGAATATTATACAGAAACTGGAACACTACAAGATTAACCGAAATATGTACAATAAGAACCACCCTAACCTAACATCAAGTATGTGTATCACAGGGTCCAATCAAACCTAAGTCGGCGATTAGACGAACCGAAATACTTATTTGCACAGAATACTTATACATTATGATAACAATGGGAACCTAATAAAAATAAACAGGTAGGCAGAAGGCTTACGCCTGTGCGCCACCATTATGGAATATACAGGGTGTCCTAAGTGTTGGAAATTCCCTTTTCAGAGACAACTGCGCTTGTAACAATAAGAAAGCGTAATGAAAGAATTGAAGGAAAGTGCACACGGTTCAACTTTAAAGTTTACTAACTTCTTTGTAATTTTACATTTGAGGCCGTGTTAGTTGGTTTTTTACTATTTCGATATCGACGGCCTTTGCACAATGCAAAAAAGCCTACGCGGCTCAGGACGGAAACTTCCAGCAAAACGATCTGAATACACTAGCGAAGTAACAGTTAAATTCTGGACACACTCAACGTAAACCATCATCGAAGCGACAACTTGTTATTGAGATGTGGCAATATTGCAGCTTTTTTCAGGTCAATTTGTAAAAAAAGGTAGCTTGCGCAGCACTTGATCCGGATGCTGACGTACGCCTGGTTCATATATTTTGTTCCGGAAGTTAGTAGCCAGGCACCTAAGCTTTGGTACATGTTTTACTCTGCAAATTTGCGTATTGTTATATAAACTATATGCTCTAAGAATAGCACAACTTAATATCTAATAGATGACTAGTGTCTTCAATCAATACAGCAAAAGCAAGAGCTGTTCCACATGATATATACATACAAGATACATTACTTTATAGTGTTGGTCTGGCCACCCATGACTTACAGGTTGCTGTATTCGATAAGATACGAGAAAATAAAAAACAACTAAATATAACACTCTAATTTTGAGTTTAATTTGATGCATTATTTGTAGGAAGTTGAATTTTGACTAGTAATGTGCTTTGTGTTTATGTCGATAGTGATTGTACTTCTAAGATTAAACCTATATATTTCACAAGATCTTGACAAATGTATGGGTGCTCATCTGATACTTTAAAACTGTACGTCATGGGAAAGTAGGAATTTTGAACCTGATGGTGGAACAAATTTTACATGCCAATATACACCTATATATATATACCAAAGAGTTCTTGCACTTTGGGCATTCTTCAAGGCAAAAACGATGAAAACATAAACACACTTTATATTAACAATATCGTTTTTGTTCCAGTATCACGATCTACAATAGACAAACGACCAACAACCAAATTTTTCATTTCGTTCCAAAAGGATCAAGTTGCTTTCCAGGAGAAACCGCTCTCCAGTGATCAAATCCTTTATGCATGCACTGACAGCCATTTTCTATATGTTCTTCCATGAAATTGTCATTTTTTTAAACATTGTTTGTAAAATTGATGTGAGACCGATTTTCCAGAACATAGCAACGAGAACGCTTAACATATTGCTTGATATAAATTGCAATCATCTCAAAGCGCTAAAGACCATTTTGTTACAAACGAATAAAATGAGAATTTTTTAAATATCACAATGTACGTAATTTATTAGCCAACGAAGTTTGTTCTCATCAATACTCTCCGGAATAAAAACTTAAAATTACTGCTAAAAGTTATTTTGTTCTTTTTCAGATACAGAAAACGCTCTTCCAGCACCAAGCAATCGAAAAATCAACTCGAGTGGTGCTCCCCAGAACATGTTACACTACATACCAGCTCCTACAACTGGAGGAGGAACTCTTCGGCAACATGCAACAAGTATCTGAGCCGACTAAGACGAAATCAAATGGCACATGATTTGAACCTCACCGAATCTTAAATCAAAAGAAGGAACAGGAGCAAATAGGAACTTTTCTTGAATATTGTCTGGAACAAAAAACTAAAAATCACTGATGAGTAACCAAGCTAAAAGTGCATGTTAGAAAGGATAACATGACGTCCGAGGAATTTATCATAGGAGATGGGCTGAGACAGGGAGGAGTCCTGAGTCCGATATTATTTATTATGATTATGGATGATGTAATAAAGGCCGTTAAAAGCAAAATTAAAAAAGTGCATGTCGGTTTCTACAAAATGAGGTCAATAAATATTTCAAAGTGCGCATTCGCGGACGATCTGTTATTGTGCGCTAATACCCCAAAAGACTGACAAGATAACTTTAAAATCTGGATCCAGGAATTATCAAAGAGAGGTTTGAATATTAACGTATCTAATACAAAAGTGATGACGACAGCAGAGGGGAATGGAATGAATACAGTTACTAAGGGCTCTCGTATAGAACAAGTCCAAGCTTTCAAATATTTAGGAGTGGAAGGATGGAACAGGAAATCAACGAAAGATTAATGAACGCATCTAGGCTCTATCACACATTGAAAACATCTTTTTTAAGGAACATGACGGTGTACAGAACAGTATTCAGACCCATATTGATATTTGGAAGTGAGAGCTGGGTATTAACGAACAGGCAAAAAAGCAAGTAACAGGCTATTGATATGAAATACTTCAGGGCAGTCAAAGGAGTCACTAGGAAAAACAAAATTAGAAACGAAGTTATTCGAGAAGAGCTGGGAGTAGAATCTGTACTACAAAGGATTGAAGAAAACCAATTAAAATGGCCAGTAAAACTGATATGGGAAGCGAGAGTTCAAAAGAAAAGGGCAAGAGGGCGACCGAAAAAGACGTGGAATGAAGGATTGGCGAAAATACTCAAGAACAGCGGAATAAGTTAGAACGAAGCAGTGTGCCGGGCGAGAAATAAGAAAGACTGGGCTAAATTTGCTAGCTTCTTTGGCGTTGACAAATTCAGCAACTAATGAGCTCCTAATAGATTTTTCTACGTTTTGCGAATCCGATGCTCCAGCCAGACAAATATATATCAAGGTGGCACTGACATTTTACTACAGAGAAAAGTAATACTTTGTCTATATCCTCGAAGAAAAAAAGCTTGAAACACTAAATCACTGAATATTTTACATTATTTATCCTTTACCGTTTCCTCTTAGGGCATTTAGCAGGTTTTCTAATGATACATATTATTTTATACAAGACAAGAATTTTATATCTATTATTCTATCGTTTATAGTGAATAACCTTAAATTTTTGCCTTATACCATATTTTTACTCTGAGGCAGTTTTTGAAAATCAGTTATACTGTTATTATTTATTTTTATATTTAGTGGAGATATTTTATTGATTTTTAGTTGGATTTGACTAGATAAACATGGAATTCCACTTATCAATTCAAGTTATAGATTGTAAACATGGAATTCAACTAATAAATTTATGCCAGGTATTTAATGAACGTTTTTACGTAAGACTACTCTACAGAGTACTCTGGATTACCTTAAACTAGTACTGCGACGTTGCTTATTTTACTGTATGGCTTGTATGGTAAAGGTGGCTATGATAATAAATATAGTATAGTTGACAAGTTTGAGTATCCGAATAAAATAACAGAAACGTTTCGACCCAATGACATCGAGCAATGACAATCCGTTTTCGAAGGTTTGGACGTTAATCGTGGAAAAAGTAGCACAGTAGATTTCATTCTCAATACCTAGAAGTATATGTACCCTTATACAAATGGTTCGTATTGTTGTATCCTGAAAAATTCGCATCCGTCAAAAGATTAAGTATTTCATGAAACCAGGAACCCCAAACTATTGATTATATAGAGAAAATATTAAAAAAAGGAAATGCTATTGAGTTTCCTCTGGTTATTATTCAGATGTAGTTGCCAAAGATGGGACCATGTTATCATCGTGATAGGTGGTGTACCTTCGGCATATCGATGATAAGAACCAGTCGGGCGTACGTGCTTGCCTCGGGCATTAGCATTACGCATTGTTCTTGGTTTCATGTGACGGTCTTAACCTGTTCTACAAGAAACAAAGGCAAAATCCAACATTATTCTAGGAAAATGCTAATTTTTAGCTTAGCCGTAATATCTAATATTAACATGTTCCTAGTTCCTATAAATATCCGCCGTGCTAAGCACAATGGGTATCTGCAATTTTGGGCATATTAGATTATTGATACTTGAAACTCCCAGTCATTATGTCTACTCATTGCCAAAGTATTTTGACCGTAACAAACAATAGTTTTCTTAAAATCCTACGCCTTTTCCCCAATTCCACGTCATCTGCAGATTCCCCCTCTATACCTAGCACCCCAGGTATAACCTTCCCTTCACAAGCGGCGTATGATTAAATTGTGAAAACCCCGATCAGATAAGTTCATTTTCCATCTGAATTGGCTACTAATAAGTAACGAGTTTCACATTTCCCATTTAAAACAAATAACTTGTAAAAGTGGTTGGAACTAAACGACACTTCAAGCCTTCGAAGTGGTCAAAATGAGGTTATGACGTTTTGCCAAATTTTACTTCAATTCCTGATTTTTTCATTAATCATCAAAATTTGTCAGCAATGAAATATCTATCAAATGTGGCGTCTCACAGGGAACCGTTTTAGGTCCACTGCTTTTTAATATATCCTTAAATAATATATTTTAAATTGACTATGTACGCAAAATAGTAAGTTTCGCAGATGACACAGCAGTTTCTTAGAAAGGTAATAATTTGCTTAATTTGAGAAGTATAGTTGAAAATGAAAATTATCCAGTGGCTTAATAACAGAAAATTGAGCATTAATTACTCTAAAACACAGAAATTAGAAATTAACAAAGCATTAGACATAAAACACCCTGAAACATTCCTGGATCCACACTTGCATTGGTATGTGTTTATATTTCATATATTTTTTAAAAAAAGTTAGATATGTGTCGTATAAAATTAAATATATCAAAAGCATTTTAAAAGAATATCTTCATACCTTGTACCTACCTTTATCGAGCCGCATTTAACCTACGGTATATTGGCATGCTCAACACATATTCATTACTTAGACACTTTTCAAAAGAACGATTTCAAGAACAATGTTTAACAAATCAAAACTGTATCCAACTGATGTCTCATACAAAGATACACATGTATAGTCAACGCCAAACAAAGTGGCGTGCACGTCATCAAGGTGGGTGTGTTGAAAAATGTACATTGTTGCCAAACTTTTTGTAAAATAATAAAATTTATTATTTACATATCTAGGTTTATAAGCAATATTAACCTCAAATGAGAACAAAAATAATAGTATAATAAAATTATAGATCTGTACTTGCATAATCATTAAGTATGACATTTATTGATCAGATGACACTATGAAACTACCCTATTTAATTGATAGCTTAAAGGTTCTGAATGAAAATCCAAATGGGGTCCTCCAAATTTTATGCATGGTATTTATTTTACAGAATTCATACAGAAAAATGCATTCTAAAATTAGGTAAGCTACTGGTGTAAGCTTTTTCTGTACAATAAAGTTAGTCGGAGTTTCTTTCTTCAGCGCTGTCTGAATCTGAATCTTCATCACTCTCAAAGTTGATTATTAAAGGTTCGATGTCTGGTCGATCAAAAATTCGTTCTCTTTCATACCATTTAAAAATTTCTTGCTCAGTATGTCGAACACTATTTTTCCACATGTCTGGGGTAACCGTTTGTAGAGCCTCGTTCCACATATCCAAACAGTCTTTTTCACTGTTACCATCTCTACCAATATGTCTGTTATAGTAACCTTTTGCTATGCCCCAAATTAACTCAATAGGGTTAAATATACAATGGTAAGGAGGCAGACGAAGAACTTTGTGCCCATGTTGTTCCGCCAATTCATCAATCACGTATATTTTACGTGGTTTGTTTCTAAAAAAGCAGTTATTTTAAGAATAGGAATAAACAAACGAAATATAAACTGTCGACCAAAATATATATAATTAAGAAGCATTATGTACCGAGCAACAATACTCAATAGCTCTGTTTTAAACATTGTGTTTAAAAATGGTATGTTTTGATTTGTCAACCAGTCTTGGATATTTTTTTTTGTCCATGCATTGTTGGGCACTTTGTTCAATATCATGCTGTGATAAGGGGCGTTATCCAGTATAATCATAGATGGACTCTCCAATTTTTCTAATAACTGATGTTGAAAACATTTCAAAAAATTGTCCTGGTTCATCTCTCCATGGTAATCGCTCAATTTTGTTTTCGAAGAAAATATCGCTTCACTACCCTCAATAAACCCATTTTCATTTCCAGCATGTAATATAATGTATCTAAAATATATTAGTTTTAAATTTTATAGTGCAAATTGTGTAAAAGTACATACCTTTTACCAGCTGTTTTAATAGCTTTCACGCTTTTTTGGTTTCCATTTTGCCAAGAGCGACCTATGGTCCCATTTTGGAATATCCAAGTTTCATCGAGGAAGACAAACTGGTATAAGGCCTCAACCTTGGCTTGATTGTATTGCCTTAGAAACTCCACCCTTTTCAAAGCTATACTTGGTAGTTCCATGAGCCCTCGTCGCGGATTGTCCTTAAGCCACTTAAATCCAAGATCTCTAAGCAACCGCCTTAAAGACGTGGCACTACCATCAAATAATGCCCTATCTCTTAATCGAGACCATAAAGTTTGTATCGTAACTTGTTCTTCTGAAACCATGTGTAATATGACATTATAATTTAGTTAACAAATTAATGCAAATTTCTGATAAGTTATTATAATAAGATCTTACTTTTGTGATACATATTATAGATCACTTCTCGAATGGCACTTGTATCCAATGTCGCTGTGTTGGTGACACGTTTAATATAACTCCGCTTTTTCTTGGGCGATTCTAAATTTGCATCACTTTTCACACCCTCGGAAATACGACTAACTGTCCTTAAACTAATTTTTAAAGCTGCAGCAACACGCTACAAAAAATGAAATAAAATTTCACTATTATTAATATACATTACATATAATTATTAGTAACCTACCTCTTGAACAGCATTTAAAGGCAACAAAGGCCCGTTGTTGTCCCTTTCTTGCTCAAAGTAGTGCATTAACGAGGCCACGAGTTCCTTACACCGACTATTTAACTGTTTGGGCATCTTTATATACCAAAATTGCCTTTATCTACTCGTAAAATGAATAATTTTGTTTTGAAACAAACAGTTGTTGATTTACAGTATGCGGGGCCAAAGGATTTATAAAGATTTGAAATGCCACAAATTGATTCAGTGTCAAAATTAATACAAATGTCAGTTCCCAGTTTAAATAAGTTTCAAGGTGACAATGTGTCAACGCTGCGAAATCGGTTTAGTGCGTTTACATGTCGATAAGTGATTGGAGCGTTTGCAAAACATTTTATTTCGCATAATGCGTCTAAATTTATCAGAAAGCAACTTATGTGATATTTTAATAACAATGTTTATATGACTATTAACCATAATAAGAGAGTAATGACCATTTTACAATTTACATATCACATTAATATGAAACTGCAATAGAGCAATTGTTTGTGATAGAAACCTAGGCATTAGGTCGGGGAATTTTTATCGTGATGACGTGCACGCCACTTTGTTTGGCGTTGACTTATATATGACTTAAAACAGCTTTATCTCTTACATGCTATAACCAACTATCACAAATGTATACAATAACGACCAAAAAATTTAACATAATCAACGCACAAGGAATAGACTAAGAGGAATAGCTGTACCCAGGCTAAATAAATCTATAACG